TAATGCAGAGCTAGGCTTCGAAAATTTTAATGTATTCCACGTACATAGATGTTATGATAATAATGATTGTCTGCAAGGGGGCGACGTTCTTATTGCTGTTCGTGACTATTTATGTTGCCGAACTCTGAAGGTGACGGTGCACGTCGAGCACCTCTTTGTTGACATTCGGTTGGATCACATACACTTAATTGTCGGCAGTTTATTTACCTCCATACTCTGGTTCATCTGCTTATGAGTCGCATTACCTTTTTGTGGAAGAGGTGTTGGCCTAATACTGAAGTTTTGATCGATTATAATTTACCTCACACTGTTTGGCATAATAGTAATGGTTATTTCAATATGGAGCATTGTAGCCGTGTAACGGAACAAGTGAAAACGGTTATGCACTTCTTTAACAAATTTAACTTTTGGCGATGTAATATTATGAATGCGACTCTCAGGATTGGGAACGTTATTCTAAAAAAGTAATGCTTACCGTTACCGTTACTTGTTACTAATTTTAAAAAGTAACGCGTTACCGTTACCGTTACTTAGAAAGTAACAATTCGTTACTTTTGTCACGTTCTGTCAAAGTTAAGTTTATTTGTCCGTTTTTGGGTAAAAACATTTAAGTTATTTACCCGGGATTTGGACCAGGTTGCGTGATTAATCCAGTCCAAACAGATATCGAATTTTTTATGTTTTAAACCAAGGGTCAGATTTGTTTATTAAATTAAAATTTGGAAAATCTACTCTTAAATCCAAAGAAATTAATTTATATGGAATTAAGGTTTGAGTTTTATTGTCTTGTTTTTCACTTTCTAATTTCTTTAATTTGAATAACAATGGAAAAGGATCCTGATTTAATTGTATAGCTTGTTTAATCTGATATTTAATTCTTTTGAGTTGGAATCCTTTGCTCTCCTTTCTGGGCATGAATGAGGATTAAAAGAAATCCTATTGCCACACTCTTTGGCAGCGACAGGTAATGGAAGGAAATTTCCTGTTGCCACACTCTTTGGCAGCGACAAAAATATCAGAAAATTACTGTTGCCAGCAACATAAAAGTTACATAAAATATTCGTGGGACGTCTTTCTGCATTCTCAAAAAAAAAAAAAAGATTTCTTGGTACTTTTTGAAACTTTTGATTGTCTGAGGTATGTAACAAAAAATGCATTTTTCTCAAAAAGGGGTAAAAAGAGAAGAATAAAAATAAACATGAAATGTTCGTGGGATGTCCCTCTGCATTCTCAAAAAAGAGATTTCTTAGTACTCTTTGGAACTTCTCTATGTCCAGGTTTTCTCTGATTCGGCCCACTGTGCGCTATTTCGTAAGAGGGTCGTAATGAATAGTGTATTAACAATAAAAAAAGTTTGAAGTTGTCTATTGTATAATTACAGGGGCTACCGCCTCTCCCCGCAAGCTGAGGTAGGTGGGCGTGGACCTTGGTTCGTGTGAAAAGTTGCAAACCCGAACCGTACTCCATAATTATACAATAGACAATTCCAAATTTCTTCTGTCGTTAATACACTATTCATTACAATACCCTTACAAAGCGTGAGAGAGTAAGAAAAAACGTGAGAAAGTAAGAGAAAACATAAAAGAAAGTTAGAGAGCGAGAGAAAACGTGAGGGAGCGTAAAAAAGCAACAGAAAGCGTGAGAGAGCGTAAGAAAGCGAGAGGAAGAGTAAGAGAGCGTGAGAAAGCGACAGAAAGCGTGAGAGAGCGACAGGAAGGGTAAGAGAGCGAGAAGAAGCGTGAGAAAACGTAAGAAAGCGACAGAAAGCGTGAGAGAGTGATAAGAAGCGTGAGAAAGCGTGAGAAAGCGACAGAAAGCGTGAGAAAGCGACAGGAAGCGTGAGAGAGCGAGAGGAAACGTGAGAGAGCGTAAGAAAGCGACAAAAAGTGTGAGAGAGCGACAGGAAGCGTGAGAGAGCGAGAGGTAGCGTGAGAGAGCGACAGGAAGCGTGAGAGAGCGAGAAAGAGCATAAGAGAGTGCTCAGTCGCTCATTCGCTCAGACGTATCAATTAATAACTTACCAACTATTGCGAATATCGCAAAATGGTAGAAGACTTTTGTGTTTGTCTTGATCCTTTCTTTCTTCTCAAGAGCATTGGCTACAGTGCGATGGGCACCCTGTGCGTGTGCGTGTGCGTGTGCGTGCGCGTGTACGTGTGTGCGTGAGCGTGCGCGTGTACGTACGTACGTACGTACGTACGTACGTGTGTGTGTGTGTGTGTGTGTGTGTGCGTGTGCGTGTGTGCGTGCGCGCACGCGTACCGAGTATATATATATATATATACTTAGTATAGATCTTTAGTAGCTCAATATATATATATATATATATATATATATTGAGCTACTAAAGATCTATACTCGGACCATAAATGGCGTTTTTACTTTAGTTTGTGAAGGATATCAACGAAAGACTAGGATTTTGGTTGAACTGCTTTGGTCTTTATTCGATACAATCGGTAGCGGCACGCGAGACACAGCCCGGTTCGGAGCCGGCAGCCGACTGACTGATCGGCGACGCGCGGCGCGGGCCGACGCGTGGTGGTGCCGTCGTCGTCGAGTACATGACAGTTTGATTATGTATCACAACGGTTTTATTTCTCTTATTATTAAATAATATTTGTCGTTTTCATGATATGTCTATTGCAAAAATAATATTGATAAAGAAAATAAAATACATTTCGAAAATTTTAGTTACCCAGTTATAGAATATTTAGTAAGTATGGATTATTTTAGAGGGAATTTGTTTAATTTCGACCTATAATTTTCACATTTATCAATAAAGCGGGTTTTGTTATAATTTTGTTATAATTTTTTATTTATTAATTCGTGTATTTACAGAAAAATACAATTTAGTATCAAAGATACGTATATTCTACTTCTAGATAGCCATTTTATTTATGCCAAATTGATAAGTACGTATGATAAATTTATTACACCAATGCCATCATATAGTTTGAATGGAACAACGTAAATATTTAAAATATTAAGTTTTGAAAAAAGAACCTTAGGTCTAGCTCAAACTAAAGTTTAAAACAATTTACTTACACCAACGTTAAAACTGATGAAAAAAATATGACCTTAATTTAACTATAAGTCGGATCCCAACGTTGGTACAACCTTTGATTCTTTAAATTAATGTAAAAAGAAGGTTGGCGTGACATAAAAACGTTGGATATCAACATTAAATGTGTTTATGTCAACGTCGGGCAAACGTCAAATTGCCGCTTGGATTTAAAAATACGGCGCATTACTCTTGTGCGCCGCATTTCATTCTTGGAATTTTCTTAAAAACAGGAACAAAAGAAAAAATAATTTTGGAAGTAAAAAGTGGTAAATAATTTTAGTATTATTAATTTGTTGCTTTGGCAGAATTCTAGATCGGCGCTGTTATTTCAAAGTCGTGTTACTCAAACAATACTTTGTTTAGCACTGTCAAACAAACGCAAAAATAAAGCGGAAGGTTCAAGGTCAACGCCAGTTTGAAATTTAAAACCATTTAAAATTGAAAATCATTTAAGGGGGGAGCCTCATGTAACCAGTCAAAAAAATCGAAAAAAATTTTATTATAATGTCTCTAGAATATGTTCCCAAAGTTCCAGAGCGAAATTTGAACTTAAAATAGGCAATTTCATACCTGAGCGTTACGCAAGTAAAGCGCGCGCTCCGAGAACTTGAAACTTTAAACGCGTTTTTCTCAAAACCATGTTTTTCAAATTGGCGTGCAAGATTATTCACAAACTATTCGACCAATCGACTGTCCTTTGGCATGCATGTAGATAACTAAATACCATTGTGTGTATACCTACTTGTTTAGTCATTTTATCAAATTAAATAACTTTTATTGCATAATTAAGGCCAAAATTTTTTCCGTAAAAATCGAATTTTTTTCCAAATTTTGTTATTTTTTCAATTTTGCATTTTTTACTGAACAAATAGGTTTACCGACAATGGTAACTTATAATAAAAGTAAAAAAATTCGTATTTTTGATTCAATGATTAATTGCAGGCGCAATGCTGCATGCCAATTGTAAAGTCCGGCGCTGTGCCCTTTGAAAATAGGCTTTGTTGCTAATTATAAATAAAGAATTTTGCAATAAAAAATATTTTTTTACATCTACAAATGTTGCTAAAACCATTACCCAAGTTTCAATAAGTTTCATTTTAATGAGTCTTTAAAAAAAAATCCAGAAATTTGCCTTGTTTTCAGCGTTTTACATAAAACTTGTAGCTAGTAATTATGGTACATATTTCCCTTTACACAGTCAGCCCAAAATAACTTTTGACTGATCTTGATGTTGACCTTGACCTTCAAGGAGTTCAAAGTCATTTATCTTTCCCGTCGCTCGTTGCTTATTAAAAAGTTATTAACAAAACAATTTGGTAATTATTTAGATTAACATACCCATCTTCAATATCAACCAACTATTATCTGCTTTAACAAGGGGTAAAAAAGTGTATGCGTGGATGCAGTGGGTTCCGCTCCCCTGCGGGGGGAGGTCCACCTCCAAAAAACTAACCTAACCCAATTGTTGTGTGAGTGGAAAAGTGTATGTGTAATCATACATGTGTGATCCGCCCACACAACAATTGGGTTGGGTTATGCTAGGTTAATTTTTTTGGAGGTGGAGCTTTCCGCAAGGAGGCGAAACTCACTGCATCCACGCATACACTTTTCCTCCCGCTTCGTTAAAGCAGATAATAGTTGGTCCATTCACACAACATTCTTTTGTTTTGTACACAAACGTGTCGAATAAGTATAATCATATTGGAGATTTATTTTAGGGTAAAGGTGCAAATATTTACCTTGTTTTGTTAATAACTTTGTAATGAACAATGAGCGACGGAAAAGGTCAATGACCTTGAACTCCTTGAAGGTCAAAGTCAACATCAAGGTCAGTCAAGTGTCATTTGGGGTTACTGTGTAAAGGGAAATATTTACCTTTATAATTTTAATTAATTTTATAATTTTTAATTTTATAAATTTTCTTCTTATTTTTTAGTGCTTCATATCTTGGAAATACCTTACAACAAGCCAATAGTAGAAAGTCAATCACATTCACACCTGCACAACGTGACACAAGTGGCCTTAAATTATAAAGGTGATCGACAATTGGCATTAATAGATGTCAATAAAGATTTATTTTTAATTGCAATAAGGACAACAAGCTCTGGAAGAATATGCAAAATAGGTATGTGATATATGCATATATACATGTATAATTATTAAATATGTAATTACTAATAATATTAACTTAAATGTAATTACTAATAATTATGTATGTATGTATGTATGTGTATGTATGTAAGTAATTTATTGCTATTCCCCGTAGGGTTTACAATCTTTTGACAGTGGCGTTTTAAAGGGACGTACCCAACCCTTTACAATGACAACACTTTCCTAACCCGTCCTGACCATAGCGGCCTTTAACATTCTAGCGCCCTTCCTTCCTTTCACGCCCCTCTTTCTTGCCCTTTTCCCTCTCCCCGTCTGTCCATTTCCCTCCTTCCCTACCTCACCCACTTCATCTCCTCCTGCTCTTGCGTTCCTCTTTCTTTTTTGCTCTCTCTTCCATCACCCTTCGCACCCTTCCTCTCTTTCTGCCCTCTTTCCGCCTTTTTTCCCTGCTCCTGCTTCGCCTCAACCGCCTTCCTATCGTCCCTCAGCCCGCTGCTTCCTCTTTCTGTCCGCTCCACAGTGGGCCAGAAGTCCACTATGGTTGGCCAAAATGCAATTTTTTGAACTTACATGAAATCAAACATATATGATATTATATATTTGTAACGGCCTGCCTTTTAGCTGTTTATATCGAACGCGGACTAGCTCGCCGGACCAGGAGCTCGATGGTAGGCCCAGAGACAGAAGGCAGTTTCGATACGGAACGTGGTTTATTTCGGTGTTTCAATTACAACAGACTGTCGCGATAGTTACAAATTTCGTGAACGCATTCGGTGTATGCGGTGGACGCGGGCGGATTAGATTCTATAAGACGGTCGCGGTAGTTACCAATTTCGGGAACGCATTCGGTGTATGCGGCGGACGCGGGCGGATTATATTCTATAAGACGGTCGCGATATTTACAAGTCTCGGGAACGCATTCGGTTTATGCGGCGTACGCGGGCGGATTATATTCTATAAGACGGTCGCGATAATTACAAATTTCGGGGACGCATTCGGTTTATGCGGCGGATGCGGGCGGATTATATTCTATAAGGCGGTCGCGATATTTACAAATGTCGGGAACGCATTCGGTTTATGCGGCGGACGCGGGCGGATTATCTTCTATAAGACGGTCGCGATATTTACAACTTTCGGGAACGCATTCGGTTTATGCGACGGGCGCGAATCCGGTGGTCCGTACCGGCGCGATGCGGTACGCGTGCGAACGGGCCTTTAAGCCGGCCAATGGCTGGTCGGCCCGCGGCGCGGGCGCGTGTATATTATCCGGCGCGGTTTCTTTCTCGCGATACGGTCCGGTGTTAATTACGCGGCGCGGTGGGAAGGAAAACGAACGGCCAGGGGTTAGGCTGGTCGATCGGTTGACGAGGAGGTCCGACTGTTCCGGCGGCAAGAATCCTTGTCGAGAGGCCGGGCACGCTCGACCCCTGGTTACCGTGGCAGACGGGGTGTTCCGGGTAGGAAGGCGGTCAGCGCTCAAGAATTCTTGAACGAGGCTCAGAACGCTGGACCCCGTTTCGCAAGCTGGCCTAGGAAGCGGAAAGGTACTCGTCTCCGAGGGTAGCGGAGCATATGTAGCTAGACTCGGATCGAAGTGTGTCTATCTGTCGCGGCGCCGGTATTTTTATACTCGCCCGGGTGGTACGCTAGGGAGGGGAAGCCGGTTCCCGCGTGAGCCGCGCCGCCAGCGGAGCGGAGCGGAATCGGCGCGGCGATAAGCGTGCTCGCGCTCGGGGGCGCTCGGCTCCCCTCGGTTTCTGTCGGAGACCCGGGAAGATGTCGGTGCGGCGGAGTGCCGCGCACACGACCGAAGTTAAGTTGTTTAAAAATAAGGTGGGCGCACCGCGCCCTTTCCTCGCCCGATGGAGATCGTCGGGCGGCATCCGGCAGTTCTTCGCCGGGAATGATGCATGTGTGGGGGTGCATCGTTACATCTTTATGTACACTTTCCTACACTAAATGCTAAAAAGGTTTTCGAGGTTGCTGAATTCGAATCCGTACTCAAAATTCAGAAATTCAAAATGGCGGATCCAATATGGCGGACAAAATTGCTAAAAATGCTCCGATTGTGTAGCAATTTGATACTAAAACGTTTTCGAGGTTGCTGAATTCGAATCCGTACTTAAAATTCAGAAATTCAAAATGGCGGATCCAATATAGCAGACGAAATTGCTAAAAATGCTCTGATTGTGTAGCAATTTGATACTAAAAGGTTTTCGAGGTTGCTGAATTCGAATCCATACTCAAAATTTAGAAATTCAAAATGGCGGATTTAATATGGCGGACGAAATTGCTAAAAATGTTCTGATTGTGTAGCAAGTTGATACTAAAAGGTTTTCGAGGTTGCTGAATTCGAATTCGTACTCAAAATTCAGAAATTCAAAATGGCGGATCCAATATGGTACTTACACAATAAAAAGATATGATTATGTAATTAAAACGCCTGCAGTTTGCCTACAAAATCTGTAGTTTCCGGGGCCTACCACGAGGAGGTTACAGTGCGATTTCAAACCCCTTAATTACCGTATCGATAATTCGGGGTGCTTTATTAAAATGAGTCCCCTTGCCTCTCATTGTATTCGAGGTGCTTTGTTAAAGTGAGTCCTCTTGCCTCTCACTGTAGTCGGAGTGCTTTCTGAGTGAGTCCCCTCGCCTCTCACGTTATTTAAAAAAAACCTTCAGAAATAAATGCACAGTGGGCCAGGAGATTCAGTTCCGTGCGTGGCCAAAAGTAACAAACCCATTTAAAATGGCTAATCCAATATGGCGAACGATTATTTCGACTTTGCTGGATTAAAAATTTTCAACATGAAACATTTAGTAATATTAATATTATTATTACTATTATTATTAATAATTTTTGGGGGGTTTTTTGTTTTTTTTGTTGGTTTTTGGTATTTTATATTTGTTTTTTTCTTACTATATCTTAATCATAAGTTGACTTAAAAATAAATTAATATGAAACTAGTTTATCGTGAATTTTTAAACTAGTAATTATCAAAGGTTTTTTCATCGGATAACTCTATGCTATCAAGTAGTTGATTAAACGTATCAAATCTAGTATTTTTTTTAGCGACATCTTTTGTTGTACTACCATTATTATCACTATCCTGTTTTTCTCCATCTGCATTGATCAAAAGTAATTACGTCACTTCTGTTGGCAACGGTAATCGTTTTCTTTTACTCATTCGAGATGTCATACTCATGTTAGATACTATTGGATCGGAGGTGTCCATTACTTGATAAAATAAATCTTCTAAGTTTGTTTTCCTGCTGAAATGTCTACTGTGACTAATTGTAAGTCTGAAATGTCTGTAATCCTTATTACGAGATTCGGACGCCTCTTCTCCAAACATTCCTACTGGTAAGATAGAGTGCCTTATTATATCTCCAGAATGAATCAATATTTTATGAATTGTCGATGTCATGGGAAACCATGAATAAAGTTAGACATATAACTGTGCAGTATTTGTACAAAATTCTTCGAATTTTTTTACATCAATTGGTAGTTGGCATGAAAGAGTAATTAAAATAATCTTGAAATTATGTACCAAGCGGTGATCAATTTGTAAGCAATCAGCGAAAATATCTGCATTTTTAAATGCTCTGCGTGCTGTATTGCCGTCGTTAGTATTACCACTGCCACCAGCTTTTGGCTTATCAACTATCAGGTCTAATTTATCATGCAGAGATTTTTGTACTTGAACTTTTTGTTCTGCCCACAGTTTTTTTCTTCAGGAGTTCTCACCTGCCATTTTTTGATATTAATTCGATACGCTATATGCAAACAGCATTCAAAATACCTAATCCAGGCATGTAATGCGCTAACTCCATACTGAAGTGAATTAGGATCAGGAAGAAACTTATTTGTTTGTCCAGAGATGTTCTGAAAATTATTGAAATTCTTTGGAGTTGATTTACAAATAGGGCAACTTTGTGAGGACTTGGTATTTGTTAAAATATTAAGTACTTTCCCATCAATCAAAGTTAAATGCAGAGAAAAATGAATTACCACCTTCTGATCCGCACTTAATACCATTTCAAAAATTTTTAATTCATCGATTTGCTTTTGAATTTCAGCTTTCTGAGATAGAATAACTTCCGTTGATTCTTTAATAAAATGTAATTTAACTGGACGACAAAATCTTGGAGATTGTGAGGAATGATTGTACCAAACTATCTTTCCATTTTCCGTTGTTAATTGCAAGGGTATAAGTGTTGTAGCAAAAATATTTTCATCGCTGAAATCATTGTCATCTGAACTGTTTTTAAAACGCTGTTTATACCTTGAGTGCCCACTGCTACCATCAAACCCCCAGGAACATGTTAAAACTAATTCTACTTCCGTTAATTTACACGTATCCATGATTCGAAATAAGATTTATTTTTGCATTTCAACTATTGGCTTGCCTGTATGATTTAATAATGACTAAAGAAAAACCTGTGCTATGTGTTCATTCATAACGATTGTATCCTTTGATGGTCTTCAAAGGCTCTTAGTTTCTGTTATCTTATTATAAGCAGGCCAAATATTAGCTCCAGATATTTGACACTCTCGACGAATAACGTTATATACTTCTTTTGATAAAGACTGGTCTAATAAGAAAACTAAAGCCTCTAACGGAGTTTTCATAACGATTGGAGTCTCTTTAGTATGCATTAATTTTCTTATTTTAGTAGCTCGAGAAGGACTCTTCGTAAGATCATCGAGTACTGTCCTAAGGTAATTCTTTTTAGACATAGTAGCTGCATGACGTGCTGCTAAAATAAGTCTTTGGGGATCATGAGCATTACTAAAACTAATCGCAGAAATTTCTCGTCTTTTCGATCGATTATATTTATCTGAATAATCAAGAGGTCTTCTACCAGTACTTATTTTTATTTTTTTAGGGACAAAGTCAGGTACAACGAATTCTGAATCAAGCCAGTCTTTATTCTTTGAAAGAAATCTGTCAGTTTTTCTACATGCGGCATTAAATCTGATATTGTGCTTTGCTTTGAGTGTAGATAATGCAAGCTTGAGGCGATCCAGATTTTCACCATCTAAATTATTAACATTTTTACCAAGTTTAGATAATATGTACGTGAGGACTAAATCTATGTCTGATGATTTTGAAAGCTGCTCAAGAATTTCTCGTTTACTGAAATTCATTTTCTTACAATCACAAAATACCGTACCGGCTTATAACACTTGATCTGCATAAAAGTCTCGAACTCGGCTGGGGGTCCCCCTTGTAATAGGGATCGTGGATGATTTTCACATGCGAGAAAGATTCGCCGCCTAGCGGCGGCGCCTCGCACTACGTTTGCCGCATGTACTAAAGAGCCTCGTAGGG